CTTTGCTGTAGCAGCCCATGAGAATCTTCTTCGCATCGTTATCAGCATTAGTTAGAGAACTATCCATATCTTCACCAATATCATCTAACATTCTTGGAGTATTGTCGATTCCAACATCAGCTGTTTGCTGTGTGTTATCGATACCAACATCAGATGTTTGAGATCTCGCTTGAATATTTCTATCAGTTTGGTTAACACGATCAGTATTGATTGAGCTATTCACCATCTGCACACCGCCATCCACTCCAACATCGATCATCACAGGTCGAACATTTGGAGTTGGGACCTCAGGGTTTGTTTGGGAGTATCCATCAATCAGTTATTTTTTAATGACTCAGCAGACTCGGATGAGCTGATTTGCTTAATTTCTTAGGGACCGCAGTAATCCCATTCGTGATATCACTTGCCCACGAAGCACCTTCTTGCATCCCTCGCTTGGCTTTAGCTTGTCGAACGCGGCGCTAAACTTTTTCAAGAAGCTGCTGCCGTTTTTGCTTTATCTGAGCGAGCAATGTAAAAATTGGAAACATTGTGTCCATATCAAACGAATCATAAAAAAATGAAATGAGTAGCCTCAAATACTCTTACCAGTAGCCCGGCTTAACTGAGTCATGACGAAAGGGTAGATACGAATGACAGATACGATTTCGCTCATTTAGAAGATCTAGACAACAGTCCTTAATGCAATGGAATAAAGCTCCAGATTTTGCTTCCAAGTCATGGCAATACTTACGATTTACTACTGTTTTCCGAATATTCGCGGCTACATCAAGATCTCATTCTTGATTCTACTCACCTCCTGAATAACCCAAAGCTTAACAAGCTCACGTTCTTTCCCTACACAACATGGGCAAATTACTATCTTACTGCTATGTATTAAGTCAGATATTTCCCAAAATCTCAGAAAAAATAATACATAAGATTATATATTTGAGCATAAGCTTACAGAGGATTTCTCTATCAAATTTTTTTACAAGCTAATTATGACTCATTTTTAGTGGCGCGGGGTGAGACTACGTCAACTTTTTCTTGAGCCCCAATACTCCTTTTCAAGCGTTGGTCTCCTGTTTTTGTCAACCATTCGCAAATTATCTTGTGGCTCCCAGGAGTCAGGTTCATCGGCAACCCATCTCACCACATAATTGTACTTTCCAGAGCGTATCGTTTTGTCACCCATGATCTTCTCCGCCTCAAGAATATCGCCTCGATTAATAGTAGCATCTGTAGTCACTGTTTTAACCACTTTAAGATCGTTTGGCGCCTCGTAGAGACTATGCCCATTTCTTGAACGGATTCGGACTCGGTAGCCATCCATTCCAACGATTTTATAGACTGCTTTGCTCCATCAAGCAGCTTCTTTATCAAATGCCTGCTTTTTGAGATAGTAAAATACGCTTGATCCGACGTTAAACTCCTTCTCAATTCTTTCGACTTCCACCTCATTATGACTCAGATCTGCATCCATTACTTTGCCTTTTGCCTCATTCGGGGCCATACCAATCGAATTGTAGTTCTCGATAACGTTCTCTTGGGGGACATTTCAGTTAGTCTATGCTTTAAGGTCCTGTTGAAGCGTTCGATTTTACCCATGGTTCCGTGATCACCGGGTTCGTTGTTGTAGTGCTCAATTTCCTTTGTTTGGAAAAATGCTTGAGCCTGTGAGTTCATGAACTCGCATCCATTATCACTTGATATGATATCAACTTTGTGGAGACGAACAAACGCTTTAAGCGCTGCTAACACAGTTGCTGCTGTCTTGTTCGATAAGACCTTCGCAAAATGCAACCTTGAGTTGATGTTGATAGCAGTCAAAATTGGTCGCTTTTCCAAAACCGCAAGATCAATTTGCCAAGAGTTGGGGTTATGCGAAGCGATTTTAAAGCCATTGAATCTCTTCTTTGCTCTTGATATCGTTGAATATCAGTCTGACTCGCATACCAATCCTTTACAATTTT